GTGGTTCCCCTTCCCACCAGCTTCCTCTCTGAAAAGTACACAGGAGGCTAGGCGCGGTGGCTCACATCTGTAATCCCAGCACTTTGGGAGGCTGAAGTGGGTGGATCAAAAGGTCAAGAAGTTTGAGACCAGCCTGGCCAACCTGGTGAAACCCCGTCTCTACTAAAAATATAAAAATTAGCTGGGCATGGTGGTGGGCGCCTGTAATCCCAGCTACTCAGGAGACTGAGGCAGGAGAAGCGCCTGAACCTGGGAGGCGGAAGTTGCAGTGAGCTGAGATCATGCCACTGCACTCCAGCCTGGGCAACAGAGTGAGACTCCAACTCAAAAAAAAAAAAAAAGAAAGAGAAGTGAAGGGGATAGAGCCCATCAGGGGTCATCAAGGTGGGGGACAGGCAGCAGGTTCCTACAGGAAGAAAACCCTAAAACTCCTGGTTCTGGTTATTTATTTATTTATGACATCTCACTGTCTTGCTCAGACTGGAGTACAGTGGCTCCATCTCGACTCACTATAATCTCTGTCTCCTGGGTTCAAGCGATTCCCATGACTAAGCCTCTTGAGTGGCTAGGATTACAGGCACACGCCACCATGCCTAAGTTTTGTATTTTTAGTAGAGACCAGGTTTCACTAGGTTGGCCAGGCTGGTCTTGAACTCCTGACCTCAGGTGATCCGCTGGCCTCAGCCTTCCAAAGTGCTGGGATTAAAAGTGTGAGCCACCGTACCTGGTCACCTCATACTTTTAAAATACAGTTTTTGGTGTAAGTTTTACAATATACATTCCATATTTGTCAAGCGATAACTTCTGTGTAACTTATAAAATACACATAATTCAGGAGGATTGTGCCAAAATACGTTTCACCAATGGGAGTATGTGGTCAAAGTATTCTGGCAAACAAGGATCAGCAGAATTTTTCTGTAAAGGACCAGGTAGGCGGTATCTCAGGCTTTGTGGCCATATGGCCTCTGTGGCAGCAACTCAGTTCTGCAGTTCCTCGTGAAAGCAACCACAGATAAGAGGTAATTGAGTGGGTGTGGCTGTGTTCCAATAAAACTTTATTTCTGGAGGCTGAAATTTGAATTTCAGAGAAATTTCATGTGTCACGAAATATTATTCCACTTTTGGTTCTTCTCACCCCCTACCGCCCCCCACCAAGCATTAAAGAATGTGGAATCCATTCTTAGCAGCCGGCTGTGGGCTGGATTTGGTCCGTGGACCATCGATTCCCAGCTTCTGCTCTAGACCACTCGTTCTCAGTTCTCAGAATTGAGCCTGCTTCAGACTTACCTGGGGAGCTTTTTTCCAAAATGCATATTCCAGGACTCCAGCCCTGATTTGGTAGATTCTCAGAAAGGCCCCAGCACCTGCATTCTAACAAGGAGCCCAGCTCCTGCATTCTAACAAGGAGCCCAGCTGAGTCAGACATAGGTAGCCCAGAGACCACATTTTTCTTGTTGTTGTTGTTGAGACAGAGTTTTGCTCTTGTTGCCCAGACTAGAGTGCAATGGCTTGATCGTGGCTCACCACAACCCCTGCCTCCTGGGTTCAATCGATTCTCATGCCTCAGCCTCCTGAGTAGCTAGGCTTACAGGTGCCTGCCATCACACCTAGCTAATTTTTGTATTTTTAGTAGAGACGGGATTTCACCTTATTGGCCAGGCTGGTCTTGAACTCCTGACCTCAGGTAATCCAGCTGCCTTGGCCTCCCAAAGTGCTGGTATTACAGGTGTGAGGCACCACACCGGGCCCGGAGACCACATTTTAAGAAGCAAAGCTCAAGGGTCTCCAGGATTCTGGTCTGTTCTCTTCAGCCCATTCTGGTCTGTTCTCTGAGGCCTGAGGTATGCCATGCTGTGGGAGACTTTGGCATCAGAATAACTGGCTCCTTCATTACCTTCCAGGAGCTTCCATCCAGTGGGGGTTGGGGGGGACACCACCCACTGACAGCACAGCCCAGTCCCGGGTGCTGTGGGAGCCCTGGGTTCAGCCTGGAACCAGGGCCAGCGTCCCGAGGATGAGGTGCCGAGATGGAACTTGCAGGATGACAGAAGGCTGGGCTGCCCTTGAGTGGCGAGGGTGGACTGCCTCCAGGTTCACCTTGATCCCTTCCCTCCCTACCGCCAACTGTCTGGATGACCTTGGCAGGTCCCTTAGCCTCTCTGGATATCGGCACATGACAGTGCCTACTCAGACGCGTGTGGGGAGGGTTCCGTGAACTAATATGCATGAAGTGTGTCAGCCAGGGCTGCTGCGTGCTATCTCCCTCCCATGTCTTCCCTCAGCCAGGGGACAGGGTGCTGTGAGGGAGTGGGCTGGGAGATTACCTCTGGCCTTGTCTTAGGTGAGAGCAGGGCATGGGCCCCATGTCTAGGTGTGCTCTGGTGCCCTTCCTAGTGGAACTGGGTGTGGGCAATCTGGTCAGGGCTCCCTCCTCCATAAATAGGCTCACCTGGAGGTCTTTTCCCATTTGAGGCAACGGGATGTGTATGTGAGGCTCTATGACTTACCTTTTTTTAATTTTGAGATGGAGTCACAGAGTCTCACTCTGTTGCCTAGGTTGGAGTGCAGTGGCTTGATCTTGGCTCACTGCAACCTCCACCTCCCAGGTTCAAGCGATCCTTTCACCTCAGCCTCCCAAGTAGCTGGGATCACAGGCACGCGACATCACACCCAGCTAATTTTTGTATTTTTAGTAGAGACAGGGTTTCACCATGTTGGCTAGGCTGGTCTCCTACTCCTGACCTCAAGTCATCCACCTGCCTTGGCCTCCCAAAGTTCTGGGATTACAGGCATGAGCCACTGCCCCAGCCTTACCACCCGCTTTTCTTGTGGTGTAGTTCTTGCTGCAGGCGCACTCAATACATGCCTCAAAACCCACCTGAGATACGGGTGCCTGGGAATAGCTATCCTGACTTTTCCCCTGTTCCATATGGACCCAGAGGCTGGGTCTGGGCTGGCACAGGTGGGGCCAGAGCAGCTGGATCCAGGCACATGAGGTGTGAAGCTGTGGGCCTTATGCCACATGCAGTGCCTGGAGGAAGGAGAGTGGGGGCCAGGGTGCCGCAGGGCCAGGGTGCCACAGGGCCAGGGTGCCACAGGGCCAGGGTGCCGTAGGGCCAGTGTGCCGCAGGGCTAGGGTGCCAAGGGGGTCAGACTGCTGAAAGCATGGGGAGTCACCCATGATTCCCCAGGGTCTGGCTCTAGGGCTGAGATCCAGGAGACATATGCAGGCCTGTCTTTAGGAGTCTGACACAGTCCCAGAAAGCCATCTGGACAGTTTTCAGACCCGAGGGGAGGAAAGGGCTGGTGTCCAGAGAAGCTGCCCCAAGGGATGGAAGGTGGAGTGAGCCTGGGGCCAGTCAGGATCTGGGTCTACAAGAAACTCCGAGGCTTGTATTCTGGTCCCACCGTGGGACTCAGCCTGAAGAAGACAAGGCGGATGAATGACCGTTTCTCTCTGGCTCAGTTGGCTAAGAGGACTGGGCTGGGGCTGAGGCTCTCAACACACAGGGGCCATTTGACCCTGAGGTTTCTCTCTGGTGGTGGGGGTGGGACTGCCTCTGGCTGACCCTGCTTAGGGCTCTGATGGAGGTGGCAGGGGCTCTGGTTCCCTCAAACTGGCCAAGTCCTCTACCATAGCACCCAAGGGGTCTGGGCAGAGTGCAGCTTCCCCCCCCCCCCCCCCCCCCCCCCCCCCCCGCGCTGCCCCCCCCCCCCCCCCCCCCCCCCCCCCCCCCCGCCGCAGCTTGGCTTGGTGGGCACCTGCCTCCCCTGCCCTCCTGGCCTCAGGGCTGATGCAAACAGCCCCAGGCAGGCGCAGTCATAGCCCTCGAACAGCATGAGGCCCCACTCAAGACTCCTGAGTGCTGGCGGTCAGGGTGGGGGGCACTGTGGGGCAAGAGGCGGACTTGAGGGGTTGGAGCCTCACATCCCCGCCTAGTGGGGTGGTCCTGAGGGATATGACTTCTTTGGGCCTCTCTGCCCATTTTTGGAATTTGACAAGAGAAGGAGCCCATCTCCAAGACAATGACCCGCCTTCAGGGAGGGTCTGGCATGTTTTGTCCCCAAACGTGCTCAGCAGAGCACCCCAGGCTGCAGCTTTTGCAGCATCTTGTACACAAAAGGCAGAATCGCCTGTTGATTTAAGAGCAGGGCTCCGGAATCTGTGATCTTGGGCCACTCCCTTCACTTACCATGGCCTTTGCTTCCTTCTTGCCTGTTACATGGGTCTGCAATCTACCCCTCAGAGGCGCTGAGGAGCTCACATGAGCCTGTGTCATAAAACACCTAGCACAGCCCTGGCACACAGTGAGAGTCAGGAGACAGGAACCGCTGCTGTTACTGTTGACCAGGCAGCAACAGCAGCCCCCGCCCCTGCCGCAGGCGTATAAAAGTGACCACTTGGCCGGGCGCCCGGGCTCACGCCTGTAATTCCAGCAGTTTGGGAAGTCGAGGCAGATAGATCACCTGAGGTCAGAGTTTGAGACCAGCCTGGCCAATATGATGAAACCCCGTCTCTAATAAAAATGCAAAAAATTAGTCAGGTGTGGTGGCTTGTGCCTGCAATCCAGCTACTCAGAAGGCTGAGGCAGGAAAATTGCTTAAACCCGGCAGGCGGAGATTGCAGTGAGCTGAGATCATGCCATTGCCCTCCAGCCTGGGTGACAGAGTGAAACTCTGTCTCAAGAAAAATAAAAAGTGACCACTCACTTTGGTCTGATTCTTTAGTTCGAATGGCCCTTTTACATCGGTTATTTCATTGTATTCCCCAGCAATCCCTGAGGGAGACACTGGTATCCCATTTTGCAGAGGTGAAAACTGAGGCTTGGCAAAGTTGGGTAGCTTGTCCAAGGGCACACAGCTGGTGCTTCTGGAGCAAGACCTGGCTTTCTCTGTCCAAAGCCCTTGGGGAGTCTCCCATCCCGGGATCTTGAGGGTCATGGGAAGGAACCGGGTGGTTTTCGGCGGGGTCCTTTACCCAGTGCCGCCTGACCTTGCAGATAAAATACCATGAAGAGTTTGAGAAGAGCCGCATGGGCCCTAGCGGGGGTGAGGGCATGGAGCCAGAGCGCCGGGACTCCCAGGACAGCAGCAGCTACCGGCGGCCCCTGGAGCAACAGCAGCCCCACCATGTCCCAACCAGTGCCCCGGGTGAGCACGAGGCCTGCTGGGGCAGATGACCGGAGGCCAGTGCGGTGGGGAAGAAGCCAGAGAGAAGACAGACACGCAGTGCACGTTCATACACACCTGTGGGGACAGAGGACCTGAGGCCAGGCCAGTGGGGTGGGGGAGAAGCCAGAGAGAAGACAGACACGCAGTGCACACATGCATGCACACATGCACACACATTCAGACATACCTGTGGGGACAGAGGACCTGAGGCCAGGCCAGTGGGGTGTGGAGGAAGCTGGAGAGAGACAGACAGACACACACACACACACACACGCACACATGTGTACACGCACACATGCATGCATGTGCATGCACACAGACATGGAAAGGACTGCTTCCCAAGTCCCACCCTCATCCAGGATGAGGGCGTGAGCACCAGGGTCAGGCCTGTGCTGGGCCAAGGGCATTGGAAGGAGAGGCCCCAGGTCTTGGGCTCAGAGCCCCCGCTGTAGGATGTACCACACAGGCAAATGTGCACCTGTGGATATCAGCCTTTGAGCTGTGGGGCTTGAGCCGGGTTGGGGTGGGGTAGAAGTGCATGGTGTGGGCTTCTTGGGGACTCTGGGAGGGGCTGGGTTTGGCAGGATAGTTTCCAAGCCCCGTCTCTTCCCATCTTTCAGTTTACCAGCAGCCCCAGCAGCAGCCGATGGCCCAGTCCTATGGGGGCTACAAGGAGCCTGCAGCCCCAGTCTCCGTACAGCGCAGCGCTCCAGGCGGCGGCGGGGTGAGTAACCCTGGCTGGAGGGGAGAGGCCATAGGCAGCGGGGCCTCAGGGAAACCTTGGTCGCAGCTCATGGGTTCACCTGACCTTCGCGCCCGCCCCGTTGTATGTGGTGATGAGGATCTCAGCCTGGTGAGCAGAGAGGAGGTTGGTTGGCGTCGTGGGCAGAGGCTGGCTGGGGCTGGGGCCCTGTGTTCCAGACCTGGTGTGCCATGGGCAGGTGGCTCCCCCTGCTCCGGGCAGGGTTTCCTTACCCCGGCTACCTGCTAACACACGAGGCGCCTTTCTGCATGGGGCTTTCCAGCCCTGGGCATTCTCTCTCAATTCCTGAGGATGCCACCTCACCTCTCAGCTCTCAGGCTGCCCCTGCCGCAGAGGGGCCTCCCCAGCCAGGCCCGTTAGAGCGTGTCACCCTGATGCTTTGCATCACTCAGCCCCCGCTGCTGCCTTCAGAGCACTTTGCCAACTGAAAAGAGTTCTTTGTGTTGGTCACCTTCTCTGTGTCCCCTGCTGGGCTGACCCCTGGCAGGGTCCCTCTGGGTCACCTATTCTGGGCCAGGCCCAGAGCAAGTGAATAAGCTCAAGCAGGAACGGGGGCGGGGTCAGGCTTCCTGAGCCCTCAGAGCTGAAGTCCTGCCTCACCGCACCCATGGGTGTCGATTGGCCGCCCTCACCAAGCTCCTGGCAGGCTCAGCACTTCCAGGCTGGGTGCCTGGGAATTCAAAGTAGCTCACGTAGGAGCAGAACAGATACTTAGAGAGATAAAATCGCCTGAGACAGTGGCGGGCTGGAGCCTCATGCTCTGTGCACACAGAGGGATGTCAGGACTGCCGGGGGTGCTGTGGGCGCAAGAGTTGGTCTGAAGGAAAGGTTCCCGGCAGCCCAGCCAGTCCTTCCCTCCTCAGCGGGTCTGTCCTGGATGTGTGGGGTCCATCTGAATATAGAGCCACCTCCCTGCCCTCTGGGGCTTATATTCCAGTCAGGAGGACAAACAAGAAAGCAATTAGAAAATAGATATATAACGTAAGGTCAGCGGTGACGCACGCTGTGAATAGAAACAGCAGGGTGAGGCATGGACACACAGCAGCTGCATTAGCGGTGGCTCATGCCTGTAATCCCAGCACTTTGGGAGGGCTAGGCGGGTGGATTGCTTGAGCTCAGGAGTTTGAGACCAGCCTGGCCAACATGGTGAAACCCCCTGTCTACCGAAAATACAAAAATTACCTGGGTGTGGTGGCGTGTGCCTGTAATCTGTAATCCGAGCTACTCAGGAAGCTGAGGCAGGAGAATCTCGTGAACCCAAGAGGCAGAGGTTGCAGTGAGCCAAGATCAAATCACTGCACTCCAGTCTGGGCGACAGAGCAAGACTCCTTCTCCCCCCAAAAAACGATATAGGCTGGGCATGGTGGCTCATGCCTGTTAATCCCAGCACTTTGAGAGGTAGGTGGCTCACCTGAGGTCAGGAGTTCAAACCCAGCCTGGTCAACATGGTGAAACGCTGTCTCACTAAAAATATAAAATTAGCTGGGTATGGTGGTGCATGCCTGTAATCCCAGATACTTGGGAGGCTGAGGCAGGAGAATCTGAACCTGGGAGGTGGAGGCTGCAGTGAACCAAGATCGAACCATTTGCATTCCAGCCTGGGCAACAAGAAAAAAAAACCGGCAAAAAAAAAAAAAAAAAAAAAAAAAAAAAAGACGTGACATTTGAGCAAAGTCCTCCATAAAGGAAGGAGTGAGCCGAGGACAGCAAGCGCAAAGGCGCTGAGGCAAGGATATTCTAGGAAAGTTCACAGAGCCACAGGAAGGCCAAACTGACGAGAGAGTGGGAGAGGGGAGGAGGTCCGATTACGCAGGGACTGGTGGGCCCCAGGAAGGCCTCTGGGACCTGTGATCTGTTCAGACCAGTGTAGGTTTTTGGAAGATCACCCTGGCAGCTGTGTTGAGAAGAGGCAGTAGTTGAGGGTAGAAGCAGGGAGACCGTCAGGAGGTCGTTGGAGGATACAGGCGTGGATGGCAGCAGCTCGGCCCAAGATGGAGGCAGAGGTGGTGCTGAGAGAGACCGAGATAACTTCATGAGAGGTGTGACCACTTCTCCTATTAACCTGTTGGTTTTCAGACTGTCCTGTGGAGCCTCAGAGACAAGTCAAGGGCAGTGAAGGTCAGGGGAGGTGGAATGTTGCCTGCAGCTATAAGATTTCTTTTTCTTTTTTT